AATATTTACTTCTGAAATGTAGTGGACTAGCAGTATAGAGAGTGGCAGTAAAATAGAAATACTCAAGTACCTTCAAATTGTATATAATTGTGCTTAATTTTTACATTCCACTGCTGACCCACAGAAATATATTGGTAGATGTAACATGTTTATTATCTATACTGTTTGTGTCAGTGTTTTTTAGTATAGCAAGAGATAATAAAAGGGTGCAGGACTGATTTTAAAAATGCTGAAAGTCATGAAAATTATGAGCATAAACCAAAAAGGACATCTCTAAAATGTTTCAATTACTTAGTTCACTGAATAAATGAAATATGAGAAATCTGAGGATTAGACTGCCAATTGTCAGGGGTAAAAGGAGGAAGTCAGGTGATGTCATTAAAGAGCGACAAAGTCTGTGTGAGGAGGGGGTCGGGGTGGATGAGTGGGTCAGAAAAAAATCTGATTTTAACATGAGGACCGCTGTCCACTTCCTGTTTCCTACCAACAGTCAACATTATTCTTCTTATCTATTACCACGGTCGTTGCCTAACAGTGACCATGTGTTGTATCTGTATCCATGAGGAAGTAGTCAACCATGATGTTTTAACCCAAAACATGATCTTCCCATAACCCTAACCAAGTTGTTAATGTGCCTGAACCTAAATAATCCTTAACGCAAGACCAAAAAACTGTTTTAATTTTGTTTAAAGTTTAATTTTAGTATTTATCACATACTTTATGTAGTCTCAAAACATTTATAGCTACAATAATCAGTTCATTCATAAATGATGTGCATTACTGGATTTCCCTTGCAGAAGGCATGAATCCGGCTCCATCCCTATGCAAAATAGTGCAGTGATGCATGTACTGCATGTCCAAGCATAAGATGGGACTGTCCTTTAGACCAGTCATTCCCAGCCTTTTTCCTTAAGGGACCCCATTGATTATACTGACGACTCCTTACTAAGTGGCATATTTTATGGATATCGCATATTACATTCAATGCATAACAATAACAGTACAGACTGATAACTGTACAATAAACCCAAATAGCGAACACAATAACTGCATGAGGTTTGTGTAGAACAAGTGATATAGCTTGTGTTCATGTCTTCAAAGTTTAGACCTAATTAACCTAATTATTAAAAAGAACTATTTCATTTGTTTTTTTCACATACATGAAATAATGAGATATAGGTCTACTGTGTATATTTTTATACAATTTCTTACACCCCTGAAAATCAAGAAGGTCTTGCTAACTCCTGTGAAGTTTTTGGGACCCCTCATGGGGGTCACAACCCCCAGTTTGGAACAACTGCTTTAGACTGTTAATTATTCTGCCACTTATTATCTATAAATTAACATTTATCTGACAGTTTGACTTACAAGTTACTTTACAAATTAAGGTTTTTGCACACAAAACATTTGCAGAGCTTATACAATATCATTACTTACTCAACAGTATATACAAGTAGAGCTGAAACTATCAGACAGTTAATTGGTTAGCTGATTCACAAAAAATAATTTCCAACTGTTTTGAAAACTGTTTAAGTCATTTTTTTCATGCAAAAACACTTCATGCTTCTAGCTTCCAGCTGAAATGTGAGGACTTCCTGCTTTTCCTCAATTATATTCATCTTTTCTAATAAAATTGAGGTCTAGACCATTGTGAAGGTGTCACTTTGGGCTCATAATTGAAAAATGAGCTTCACCTCAACTACAACAATTTTATGCTGCTTACACATCAATGCATAAACTAATGATAATCTACTGATATAATACACATTTTTCTGTATGAGTACTTTTACTTTTAATACTTTTAATACATTATTCTGATTATAATTCCATACTTTTACTTAAGTAACATGCACGACTTTAACTTGTAATGGAGAGGTTTTCGTTGTTTTTACAGTGTAGTATTAGAACTTAAATTAAGGATCTTTACCAACTTCATTTATTTATGCTGGTGCCCCTTGTACAGGTGTCTGTTTTATGAACCCTATAATTTAATTATAAATGTCTGGCCAAACTAATGTGTAGATTGGCGGGGGGAAACAAATGTTTTAGGAGATGCATTAGAAGAGAGCTTCATTATCCCTAAATGTATACTCATAAAGCATTCTGCAGACATTACCTAATTACCTCCGGTTTAAAATGCACCGTGCAGATGATTTTATTTGGAGCTTATTGAAGTCAAGGCTGCTTATAAAAGTGGGCTGTGCAAACAAGTGCTTGTAGCTTGCGAACATAGCGTCGGTTCACACTCTAAATGTTGGATCATATCTGCAACACCTTAAAAGGTGCGATATCCACAAGATGTTCAACTAGTTTTTCTCATATGACCAGTGGCTCAAAGCTCCGATCACACTGACATCACAATCTGTTTCACCGTGTTGCCTTCTATTATCACTCCTCAGTAGGAAACAAACCCACCGCCAGGAAGCACGCATGCTGTATCAATTGGTTAAATTAACTTTATATACCATTCGCTTCCTCCTGCCATGTGTGAAAGTGATGACAGAGGAGGAGAGGGGAGACGGATGGGAAGGGGGGGCTATCATGAGCCACATTATGTAAATAAGGTGCAGGGGCATGTGCCAGTTAAACCGCAGTGCCGTGCGAAGTGAGACGAGGCAGAGGCTTTGGACGGCAGAAGCCGGGGCCGTCGGTAGATGGCGGTAACCCAAGAAACCTGATCCACCGGGTTCTCGGGCACTCTGTCTCAGTTTGCAGCACTCGCACTGAAGGCAGAGGAGCTTGAACAGTTTTGAAGGACATTAAAAAAAACAACAACACAACAACCCACAGACAGGAGAGCTCACGGCGGGTCCTCTCGAGTTCAGCGCGCAGACCCTCCCGAGCCGGAGACGGAACGCATCGCTACGAAGAAAAACGGGAAAACTAAAAACACCATGGAAGACAAATCTAATTCGTTCTCCAGCAGCAAGGAGGAGAAGGCGGATGGGAATAATGTTTTTCAGAGGCAAGACTCGATACAGAAAAATAACACGGGGAGCCAGAACATGAAGGAGCACGGCAACTCCGTGGGCTTCAAGGGGGAGCGGGAAGAGGCCATGGTCGGGTTTGACGATCTGGAGGGGGCGGCCAGGCAACATGGTTTTATGCAGAGGCAATTTGGGGCCATGATGCAGCCCGGAGTCAATAAGTTCTCCTTGCGTATGTTCGGCAGTCAGAAAGCCGTGGAGAAAGAGCAAGAGAGGGTTCAAACGGCCGGATACTGGATCATTCATCCATATAGCGATTTTAGGTAAGGGCTGGAAAAGACACCTGCTCACTCACCCTCCTCCCTCCCTTTTTATCCACCCCTCCCGTCACCCTGGGGTCTGCAAGCTATACACTTGCACACATAACGCTCTGTCATCGGCGCGCACTGCCTGCCCCGAAGCGCATACGCTAATCTACCTCTGTATTTAGGCAATCAGGCTTCCGCCGGCTCAGGGCTCCACTGACAAAATGTGCCCAGTGAGTGTGTGTGTTTCATTGCGGCATTTTTATTATAATAGAGCGGGACGCATTAAGGCTTCACAAGGTGTATCAGTGAAATGTCCTTGGAAAAAGGATGGTGAATGTCATGATTTGAAAACACACACACACGCCGCACACATAGACATACACACATACACACTAGCGCACCTTTTTTTCCCTAATTGTTCCACAATAACGTGCACAGTGTCAAGTCCTCATTGCGACATATTCTCCTGTCTGGGCGACAGTACCTGGACGCACAACGTGACAATGCCATTGCACCATCCCGGTTGTAAACACTTCATTGTAGGCGGCGATATAAGACGACGGGCCTGTGTGCGAAAAAAACGCACAGAATGCGGTAAAAATCGTGCAGGGAAACGATTTAAGGAGAGAATATGCGTGTTTTGAATTAATCAGCTGAGACTGGCCTTTGAATCTGAGCATGGAGGCGCAAACATCTGACAGCTCTTAATGAATGAGTGATGTGTTTTTGAAGCTGAGGAAATGTGATGGAATGTGTTTGTTGCACAGGAGCTGCAGAAGCATCATTGTCACAGTTTCTCTAACTAAATGCCACAGTGATTATTGTGATCATTAGTTTTTTCCCTTTTTGGTTTGTCATTCTTTCACCAGAACAACCCTGTGGTGCCTATTGTCCCACAAGACTGTACGTTTTAAAACTGTCTGATGAAAGACGCAACGACTCCCCGTATTATCACACATGTATGATAAGTAGTGTAGCACATGAGCTCCAGTCGGTTTGAGTCTTAAAAAACAACAAAACAGCTTCTAATTTGGCCAAAATGTCTTACACAGTGCATTCAGATGGTAAACAAATGAGATCAGGTGAAGCCAGGACCGGTTCTCCACAAGCTGCGTGTTTACAGTTCAACCACTCAACCAATTAAGCATCTCATCTGGCCTTGTCTCTGCACCAGTGTCCCCTGGCACAGCTTGACGGTGACAATCATCCCCGTTTTCCATTGAAGCTACATGTAACGTGCCAGGGCACGTTAGAGCTGTCCGTGGTCCTGAACTTGGATCAGGCCTGAGTATGCAGTACTCTGTTTATCTGCTGCTGATTCAGAGCTGCTGGAGTCTGCAGGCTGAATTCAGACCCAAAGAACTAGTGCACTGAAAGTTAGAGTTGGTCTTCCGCTTGGCCTGTTGCCTTGCTTTTATTCGTACGCAATGCTTTTAAAATGCAACAGTTCAATAGAGCACACGGTAGCTCTAAACTGCACTTATTACATTACGCATAAGATTAATGCTAACTAGGATATCCTGAGCTCACCCAGGCAAAGACTCGGGCATATGCACATGCACATGTGCACACACAAATGTATAATGATGGTGGGCAAGGATTAGTAGCACAACACAACAGTCAATGAGCTTAACCATCTCTGAAAACAATTATGTAAGGAGATTGACCCCCCCTCTACAAAATGGCCAAAGGGTAGGACCTGAACAATTCAGTGATATGCATACTTTTTTCACCGTTATTAATTTATCTAGCAATTTAATTGGTTCTCTTAAGTATATGGGCTGTATTAATCTACTGTATGATGGAATTTCTTTGCAAGGGGGGGGGGGTGTTTAGGGGGAAAGTAAAGGAAAATAATGCCCCATAATGGTAAATGATGGATGTATCATGTCACTGTAGTTTGCATGCAATATATGTTGAGCAGCATATTCTAAATATGTAAAATAAGACACATCAATGGGGATTTTGCAATTTCATCTCTGCACAAGGAGATTGGCCATTTTTATTCCTGCTGTATTAGAAAATGTTTCACTAACTCAGGCCCCCTAAGGTTCCTTCCTCGTGACATTTTCCAAAGGGCGGTTTTTCATAGGAAATTCGCTAGTTTAAAGACACAACCCTTCTATTGCAGTGAGACTGCCTCCTGGCTTGAAAGTGGTACAGTGCTGTGAGGTTATATCCCTGTGCTTCAAGCTACCTATCATGCTGGTGCATAAATGATAGAGGTGCAAAGGTGCACTTTGCTTGGCAGGTCCCCTTGTGTGGCTTAACTTAACAACTTAATTGTTTTTGTTTAGTAGGTTGTTTGCTACAGGACTGCATATCCCTAGCAACATTTCATCCTCATATAATTCTATTAAACATTTACTGTCCCTTATTTTTTTGTATACTGTGGCATCACCTTGTATGAGCAAAAAGAGAAAACAAAATACTCTGTATGGTCTTTTAATGAAAAGTCTTACGTAAGTACAGTCCATGAATGACACCACTATTCACACGGGCTTTATATTGCTTTGGGGGAGTGTTTGAAACTCAATATCTGACATATTCTTTGTACACAGTGGCTGCTTAAAGATTAATGGCAGGTTAGTAATATTCATTATTCATAGATTTTTAGAGAGGCCTCATGCACGGCCTCACACACCTCTGGTTATGCTAAGGAGAGGCCTTTGTCGTAGTCCAAAAGACTCTCAGTGATGTTTTCTTTCAGCGTCTGTTATAAAGAGGCTGCCTCTATGGTCAAGGCAGATGGGTGTGTTTTAGCCCTTACAAAGTATTAAAATGATCACAGTTTAAGTGCGACATTGCTGTTCTTGCTCACCATAATTTTAGCCGTTTAAAGGTATCATGCTTCCTAGAATATTATGCAGAAAATTAGGGGTAATTTCTTTTTGGCAACCTCTCCAGGTCATAGAAAATTACATGTTTTTATTCTTATAAAAATGAAGGCTATTCCTCCATTTGAGGATTCGGATGTTTAGAACCCCACATTTAATAATGATACTTTACTGTCCCTATGCAAACTGTTTCTGTGTAAAGATTTAAGGATGGAGTAAAGCCTCTTTACAACACTGTAGCCGAGTCTAACAAATATGTTTCCCTCCAAAGCGGCGGATCTACAGAGAATGATGTCACCTCTCATTATTTGATCTGCAGTCCATACTTTTCTCACTGTATACATCAGTGCAGTATGTGACCTCTTGCACAGCGTACTCGTTACACTGCAGATTGGATAGGGTCGGGCCATGCTGAGTAAGATTGTGTGGGGTTTCCTCTGTTGCTTGGCAGGAGAGGTCTGGAATTGATTATGATGGAGCACTTGATGTAGGGAGGAAACCTACAAGAAGAAATGAGCCGGCTTGATTTGAAGCGGGATTGTTCTGATAATGATCCTCTGCCTTAGTTGGCGCTCATTCTTTGATCTACAGCAGGGGTGGTAGCTACAGTGTGATCATCCGTACTTCGTTGTTTCTCTTTTTTGGGGTTCTGCAGCAGCTCAAAGCTCCTGTTTTAGGTCCAAGGGAGCTGCAGATACAGTTGGGTGCACTGCTCGCAGCTACTGGTTTAACTGGGGCTGTGCTTTCTCAGACTGGGAGCACTGAGGCAAAAGCTTAATACAATGATGTAGCAAGAGTCTGGTGCAGTCTTGTTGTTGGAGCTGACTGCTTTGGCACACTGACTGCGGTGTCTGTAGATAAAAATGGCTCATTCTAAGGTAACAAAAACATAACGATTCCTATATTCAGGTTATTTTAC